ATGGCAAGAAATATTCAAGGTGATGAATAGTAAGAACCTACAGCCAAAGATAATCTATCCAGCAAAGCTATCACTCAGAATCGAAGGTCAGATAAAGAGCTTCACTAATAAAAAAAAAGCTAAAGGAGTTCATCAACACCAAACCAGAGTTATATGAATTGCTGAAGGGGGTTCTTTCAGAAGAGAAAGTAAATAAAGATAAAAATTATGAACAACAAATACGTAACTATCAACAAGTGAATCTAAAAACCAAGAAAATTTTAAAAAAATCTGATGAACAATATTAACTGTTGAATATAATAGAATCAGAGGTATGGAAGGGGAGTGAACTGATGATTCTCGGGGAAAAGGGAAGAGGGGGGCGTGGGAAGAGACTGAACATAAACTGTGCATCTATGAATGAGGACAATGGGGAGTGGGGGAAGGGCAGAGGGTAGGGTGGGAACCTGGTGGAGGAGAGCAATGGTGGGGAGGGGGGAAGGAACATTTGTAATAATATGAACAATAAAAACTTAAAAAAAGAAAATGTATGTGCTTTGTAGGCTAAAGTTACCTTTGTAAGTTGACTTATCTTTAACATAAGAATGTAACTGAGACATCTCTATGGCAACCTATGAGATACCTGGGTTAGAACTTCCCAGCTGGATCACTGACCTCAAAAACTGAGATAATAACTATTTGTTGTTTTAAGATGGGAAAAAAAAGTAGAAAAGGAAATGAGAAGGGAAGAGTGTTAGAGTAATATTTCCTATCTCACTCATTAACAGAGAACTGGCTGAATGGAAAGCAGAATCATCCTGTAACTAGAGATCACTGGCTTGAGGACATGAAGTGGAGAAACAAGCTTACAACCTCACTAATTTTAACCCTATCTGTGGCCTAGTCTACTCAGCTTTCTGAACCACAAGGCCGACGATTTCAAGTCCCATGTTGCTGTACAGCTATCCAATCCTCAGCACAAGACACTGGCCTTATTTATATTTTTAAAAGATTTATTTTTAAGAAGCGCCTCTCATTGGTTCAGCTGAGCTAATCTGAACTCAAGGCAGTAAAACACTCCAAACTTGGAGAGATAAACACTGACATAGTCCAGTTTTAAAATTAACTTTGCTAAATGCTTCCCAAGCTCAGATAATTCCACTTTGGTTGTGAACATGTAGCCAGAAAAAGATTCCAAACGAAAAGCTGCAGGACTTCCTGGAATAAACCAAAGGCTCCAGGCCCTGACCACAGGAACCAGGCTCTCCCGCATGGAATTCTGCAGCTCAGCACCATTACAGGCCCTGAGGGACAGCGTCTTCCCATCGCTTACACAGCCCCCAGACACACACGGAGGCCATGCCGGAGGTCAGCATTAGGTAATGCCCACAGACGTCCTCCCCCCTGCCAGCTCCCATCTCAGTCACCACCACAGCCCACAGAGAACTCCACTTTCCCAGATCGCCTTAGAATCTGAAAATTTTGGCTCCAAAAGTCTGGGTGAAACCCGGTCATCTGTATTTTTTAAGAACAACTCAGATGAGTAATCTGGGTTGAGAACAGCTGACAGAGGTGTTATGTTAGGATGTAACACATACTTAGGAAGACTTAGTTCCACACTCATCCCTGCTGCTTCCCAGCGGTGAGACCTTGAACAATTTACTTTCCTCGGCCTCCCCAACAGAAAATGAGTTGCTGTGGGTATCAGATAAAATAATAAGGTTTTTAGTAAAAGATGCACACACACACACACACACACACACACACACACACACACACTTCATAATTGTACAGTGTTTTATAGTTTAGAAAATGCTTTTACACCCACTACATCCAATGACAAAAGCTTACTAATGGTATAGGATGGGTGGAAATTATAATTATTACCATGTTACCGATAAAGATACTGGGATCAAAATAAATAGGTAAGGGGATGGGGAGACAACAGTAAATGTCAAGAGCGTGCCGACAGCAAAAAATGACACCAGGGGTTAGACCAGTGGAGTCAAACCAGACCTCAGTTCAACAACCTCGGTACTTGAGTTCTGGCTAAGAAAGAATTCAGAACCACGACTGAAACTGTAGGAAAAAGTTTATTCAGAAAGTCACAGAGGTAAAAAGAAGTGAGTCGTAGGAGAAATGGGCTTAGGAAACAAGTCACAGAGGCAAAGGAAGGGTCCTTGGAGCTTAGGAAAGAAAGGTAAAGCTAACCCACCAGGGACGTGAGAGGTGTAGGCCAACTCCAGGGAGAGCCCACGGGCCCTCCGCCGAAGGGCTGTTAAGGACGGAGATTTTAGGGAGAGCCCCAGAGGGGGAGCTCAATATCTCAACAGAATTTCATTAGCTTTCCAATGTGTCCCCTGATCGGTCAGCTCCATGGAGGGGTCACTAGTCAATGCAGCTGGTCCTGAGATCAGCCATAGTGTAGCTTGTCTGGTTTTGTTGCTTTTCTGGGCCAGACACTAAAACTCAGCTGAGGCCTAGACATGTTTGATGTAGGTCAAAACTTCATTGACCTGGGCTATTTTCTGACCCTCTTGTTTATTCCCTGACTAAGGGGGTCTCATAGGCATTACTACCGTGTTTCCCTGAAAATAAGACATCCTCCGAAAATAAGATCTACTTACAGGTTTCCTTCTGAGTGAAATATAAGGCATTCCCCCTGAAAATAAGCACCCCCCTAGACTAAACATGAGAGATTTGGTTCACTGATTCTGAAAGAAATGGAGTCACAAGAAATTCACCAGGAAATTCAGGAATTGGATTGTTATGATGATGTTCCAGAAGATGATGACATGATTGTCATTAAATAAATGAGTAAATTCTTGATACTGTAGGATTCAGTTTGTTTGGTTTGTGTCGATAACTACCGTACTACCGTACCGTATACAGGTAATAAATTTCCTTTATTTTCATTTAACAATAAATGTGTACCATATTCTTCTTCATGGAAAAATAAGACATCCCCTGAAAATAAAACCTAGCGCATCTTCGGGAGCAAAAATTAATATAAGATACTGTCTTATTTTTGGGGAAACAGGGTAGCAACATGGGGAGGGCCCCAACAACATGACCATGGGGAGGGCCCCAACAACATGACCCAACAACATGACCAACATGACCGTCGATATGAAGGGTTAGAGGGTCTAAACCACATGACCAGCAATATGCTAGAGGAAGAAAGGTTACCCAGGGGGTGAGGTCCTTGTTTTCCCAGATTTGCTCCTTGCTAGGCACCCAGGGCTTTGGACCAGGGTGACCTTCTGTATCTGGCCCAGCATCCTTGGTCTGCTCAAGTCTGTCAACTGCTAACCACAGTAGGACTCAATCTAGGTGATCTAAGTCCAGTTCTAGGCCATTTCTCTATGCAGCTGGTATACACTTTCAAATATTTTACAAAGGGCACGCTACTTTAAAGACTGCGACAATGTGTATCCTGCTAGGACTAAGTTAAGCCCAAAGCAGCAGGTCAACAATGCTGATTGGCTAGATCGCAATATCAACTGAGCACAAAATCAGGTCGAATAAAAGCTCCAAACAAAAGGTAAAAATAACTTTTCAAAAAATTTCATTTTGATGTACACATGAATCAAGCCATCTAGGATCTTAAACCTATGAGCTCAGGGCATGTATGGAAAATCTATAACTAGAGAATGAAAGAGAAGTTACAAGATCATTTCATCTTATAAGTCTGTTCATTAAATTTAGAGAGATGCAGCTTTAACCTTGAGGTAAGAGATTTGTTTTCAGACCAGATTTGTCATAAGGTTACTCAGTAAGGATTTCTAGAAGTACCTCCGGGGCTACAGCTCTTTGGCCTAGATTGTTTTTACCCATATAGACAACCTGATCCAACTTCACCTTTATAATATCTCATTTATCTAATTACTAGAGGCCCAGTGCACAAATTCATGTACCAGTGGGGTTCCTCAGCCTGGCCTGCGGGATTGGGTGTAAACTGACTCTCTGACATCCCCCACGGGGTCCTGGATTGTGAGAGGGCACAGGCCAGACCAAGGAACCCCACCGGTGCAAGATCGAGGTAGGGAGGGACACCGGAGGTTTGCCAGCCAGGGAGGGACCGCAGGAGGGCTCTAGGGGGTATCCAGCCTATCTCGCTAAGTCTCCATCAGCCAGACCCCAGCAGCAAGCTAGCCTACTGATCAGAGCCATTCAACCAACCAAAGCATAATATGATAATGATATCCCGAGGCCGGTCAACCACTCACTATGATATGCACTGACCACCAGGGGCAGACAGTTGATCAGTCAACCAGTTGCTATGATGTGCACTGATCACCAGGGGACAGATGACCAGTAGGTTAGTTTGCTTCTGGGGTCCAGCCACAAATCGAAACTGATCGAGATGGGACAGGCATACCATGGAGCCCTCCTAAAATCCATCCCTGGCTGGCCAACCTCCCATGTCCCTCCCCAGTCCTGATCATGTACCAGGCTGGCAATCCAGCCTAAGAGACTCCCCACCTCCGAGTGCACAAATTTCATGCACCGGGCCTCTTTTTATATAAGAGTTTAATAAGTATATTTTCCATTTGACTCCAGCCACTTTAGGCAAGAAAGACAAGAGAAATTTTTAATAGCGTGGAAAGAGGTATTAAAAGGAAAATGAAGTTAAGGAAAGAACAAATCTTTTATCTGTTGTACCAAGATTCCGTATTCCCCAAAGACCAGCAGGGAGCCAAGTCCGATGCAATTAACAAGAGAGCCTCTTCCATGTTAACATGGGCTCTGTCCCACTCACGCCGACAGCATGGCGGGCGAGACTGCGAACTTCGACCAGTCCATGGGTTTTACACCGGCGGTGATGTCACTGCTTTGGCTAACCCTGATTGGTTGGGTGAGGGCTAGGGTCCAGTTACACAAAATGGAGGATAACTTCACCCTGCCCCACAGTGGAGTCCGGAGTTTATCCTCGCCCCGCCCTGCCCTCTCATATCCAGGTTACCAAAAAAATAAATAAATAAGTATACAAATTATGAGAAAGAAGTGAAGTACTGTACTTTTATCTCCAGGTAGGATGGATCTGTAGAATCGGTCCTTCTTTTTCTTCTCCTCTGGATTTGGAGGCAGAGGTTTGGAGCCGTGGTTTAGGGTTCCAGCATCTTTGCTACCAGCTCCAATCATAGTGCTGGTGTTTCTCATTGGAGGGGCTGGGGGCTTATCTTGAATGTCCAGGCCGTTATTTGACATTGTCACCACCACCAGCAGCTACTGGAATCAGAAGAAAAGAACATAGCATTTTTATTATTTTTGAACAAAAAGAAATGTATGTTGAAAAATTTAAAAGAATCCAAATTATACAATCCTTCCTCCAGGGCCCTGTTCAAGCCCTTCTCTGCATACCACGACTACCATTATCATATTCAGTCAACAGTACTCAAAGATATAACGCCTACTCTGTGCCAAGCATGGCTGAAAATCCACAAGGTTCTTGCTTTTCTCTGCATTCCCTTATTTAAGGCATTGGGAAACACAGAAAACCATGATGATGCTGTTTAAAAGACAGAAATTTAGCCCAGCTGAGCTAAGTATGAATCCCAGTTCCATTTATTAGCTTTAGAAAAATTCTTAAATCATGTGTGCCATTTATTCATTCACATGAAGATTAAATAAAACTGCTAACAGCATTCCACATAGTGAATTTTCTGCCTACCTCTAGTTTGTAACCTGAAGAAAATTGCATTCCCTCTCTGGAATGGACTGTATCACTTTATCAAGGGTCTGTAAAGCTGCAGGCTTTGTAAATAGTTTTATTGAAACATAGCAACACCCATTCATTTACAAAGGTCTATGGCTTCTTTCACATTCCAAGGGCAGGACTGAGTGGCTGCAACGGAGACTGTATGCCCACAAACCTAAAATACTTACAATCTAGTTCTTTACAGGAGAAGTTTGCAGACACCTGGCCTATATCACCTCTGTACTATCTCCTTCCTCTAAAATTTGACCTTATTCTAAATATATGATGGTCAATGAAGAAACCATCCTATCCTCTATGATGCTGAATTTATTGGCAATCTCCAATGCTTCTGAAAAATAAAAAGAATAAAAAAGGGGAAAGAGGTAAAATCCCCTATTATATGGTAGCAATGGTTTTAATGAAGCTGTTTGTTATCACCGTAAACAAGTGTCAATGGATGGATGTTTCCAGAGTTAATAAAGTTTCTCAGTATTCTTCCATGCTACAGAGGATATTACATCGTTAACCATGACTACTTAGAATGTAAGCTCTTTAGAGTCAAATACAACAGTGTTTTTAAGACTAAAGTTTCTAATTTTTTTTTTAAAAAAATCAGCATAATAATTACCCAGAGCTTTTTAGAAAATAGAGATGCATGGCTTAACTCCCATAAATTTTGATTTTGTATGGCTAGGCTAAGGCCAAATTCTGTAATTTAAAAAACTAGTGATCTTAATACCAGCCAGATTTGAATAGCACTGCCCTACATAGCAATTGCTTAAGTGCTATAAACAAAATCTATAGGAGTCTTTTTAACATTTTCTGATACAAGCAAAACTAAATGATCCCCTGCATTCATCCCTTCCTCAACCTCCCTCCCCCCTCCTACCCCAAAATCCTTTCTCCATGTGCCTTTGGAACTGTTCTCACCTCTAAGCAGTTAGGTGTCTCCTCCAGACCCAGGGCAATGGTGTATTTCTAGGTTATTGCATTTAATTTTACTAGATTATAATTGTTTTCACCAGAAGCAAGAGTGTTCCCCAAAGGTTGTGCTCTATTTTGTCACCTTTACAATCCAAAAGTGCCTAGTACAGTATATGGCTTATAGTAGATTCAATAAATGTTTTAATTAATCAAAAGTTTACACAGGGCCCTAACTGGCTTGGCTCAGTAGATAAGAACATCAGCCTGTGGACTAAAGGGTCCCAGGTTCGATTCTGGTCAAGAGCATGTTCCTTGGTTGTGGATACATCCCCAGTAGAGGGTGTGCAGGAGGCAGCTGATCGGTGTTTCTCTCTCATTGATGTTTCTAACACTCTCTTCCTCTCCTTTCCTCTCTGTAAAAAATCAATGAAAAATATATATATATATATATATATATATATATATATATATTTTTTTTTTTTTTAAGTTTACACAGGGATATAAACCTTGCCATTAAGGAACTTAATACAGATAAAATTTTAAGGTTCTTCCCAATCAACTTATCTTATAAACTAAGCCACCACACCTCGACCCAACTTGCATTCAAACTACACCTCAGAAATCTCTGTGCTCCTGCATTTGCCAAGCAGTCTCTTACCCCACTCCTGACTCCCCAACGCTTCTGGTCAGTGATCTCTCCTCTCTCATCTTTCAAGGTCAAGTTCGAACTTCATCTTTTTGTATAATTCATCCTGGCCTTCCTCTGGCAAACCAACTGCTCCTTACTTCTCTTTTTGAACAAAATAAATCAAGTGAGCAAAGACAATCTTGTTCACCTAGGTTTCCTCTCTGGTGTGCTTTTTATCCATTTCTTCCAGTTTCACTTTGCAGCTTTGCTTTTGCCTTTTCCTACCAGCCCCAACTCCAAGTTCCCCAGCTCTGCCAAAGAGAACTTCTGCCGGCTCAGTTCTCAAATACACTTTCCCACTGCGAACTGCCAGTTCCAAAATTATACTCCCTGCAGCCACCTGATACGCTAAGCAGGCCCTTCCTTGCCTCTTCAGCCAACAACTTCATTGACTGTAACTCCCTTTTATGACCACAGCCCAGGACTGTGCCAAAAAAGGCTTCATCAGCCTTTCTGATACATACAGCTTTTCTTCATTTCTCAGTTCTTTCACTGTGCCTGGGGAATTCTTGGTGATAGAGCTCCACTTTCAAAAAAGAGCCCAGGTTACTTAAAACATAAAATCTGCTGTTGGAATACAATGTTTGAATTCACTGCACCATATTCCAGCCTACGTTATCCCGCCTATGACTGAAAACCAGTGATTAAAAAAAAATCTACAGTCTTAAGGTTAGCCTATTCTATCTTTGGTCACCTCACTGAGAGAGTTCTCACTTATATTAAGTTCTGTCTACCTCACAATGCATTGTAATTACTTGTTTACACATTTGCCTTCCCTTTCACTCTTCTCTCCTGCCGGACTATGAACACTCCCAAAACAAAATACAGTCGTATTTACTTCTCAACCCCCAACCCCAGGCTTGATAAGAATAAGTAATCAATAAAGACTTGTTGAACAAATGAACAAATAAAAGAACAAGCAAACAAATAAACAAAAACTACTTCCATCTATTAGCCCTAAATCCTATCTCTTAGAGCTAGTCAGAAAAGATTATTGCCTCTTCCCCAGACAGAACTGTAGATACTTGAAATCATCTTTCACCCAGCTGGCATGGCTCAATGGTTGAATGTCGACCTATGAACCACAAGATCATGGTTCAATTCCCTGTCAGGGCACATGCCCAGGTTGCGGGTTCAATCCCCAGTGCTAAGGCATGCAGGAGGCAGCTGATCAATGATTTTTCTCTCATCATTGATATTTCTATCTCTCTCTCCCTCTCCCTTTCTCTCTGAAATCAATAAAAGTATTTTTTAAATAAATAAAGATGGGGATTAGAATCCATATCTTCAGACTCTCTGCCAAAGGATTTTCCAACTGAATTTGAGGTAATTCTAGCCCCTTTGTTCCTTTTCTGACCTGAATTCTACTTCTGATTTATGTTTAGGTTGGTCACATCCAGCCAACAGCAAATATAGAAATATACAAACATGTGTGGGCTGGACTTGATTGATATTCACCCAATTTCTTCCACGAGCTAATAAGCGCCAGAGAAGATATACAAATCCCTGGTCCTCAAATCAGCCACATGGAAGTTATATACACCTTTTGCTTCTAGTTGCAGGTTTCTCTTTGAAGTACAATTCAAATCAATAAATTTTTACTAAGTCCTTACATGTAAGGTGCTATGCTAGAAACCAGGGATTTGGAGAGAAATAAATGAATAAGATATGATTCCAACTCTAGACATTCTCACAGTCTAGAAAGCAGGATAGACAGGACCTAGAAAACAACAATGCCAGGCCATTTAAAAGAGCGCCATAGAACAGTGCAAGCAATAAAATGTCAGAAGACACAGAAAGGAATACCCATATTGAATTAAGGTAATCAATGAGGCTTCATAAGAAGAGATGGTGTTAAGAGTAAGGACTAAAAGAATAAATAAGTCAGACTAATGGGTCTGTCTTTGACTCTCGACTATTAGAATTCCTATGAGCTTCTTAAAGCACCAGCTGAGGTACTTAGGGGGAAGTATACTAATATCTGCAATTTACTTTGAAATGCATTTATAAAAATAAAATTGATTAATGGATGAACATAGAGATGTGATATACTATACACATCAATATATAATATATAATGGATGTGATAAAACAAGTAAATGAAAATGTTTATGGTAGAAGAATCTAGGTGGTGGTTATACAGCTATTCACTATAAAATCCTTTGAACTTTGCTCTATGTCTGAAGACTTTCCTATTAAGAAGTTGTGGCTTAAGCTCTGATGCAATTGGTCTGGAATAGCACACACTGGTCTAGTACCTGAACCAAAGAAAACAGACAATAAATAAATGATTTTGATGGAGAGCAATGATGCCAAATGCATCCCAGACCACAGGGAAAACACAAGTGTGAGAGTACAGTGTGGAAGAATGCAACGTGAAAAAAGTAGGATGCAGGAATCAAAGAGGGTCTTTTACAGCATTTTTTAGTCAGAAAACAGTCCCTTCTTAGCAAATCCGGATCTGTGCAATGAATATCTCATGTTAAACACAAAAGATGACACTGTGACTTTTTTAAAGGCTGTAAAGAGATGACAAGGAAAAAAGAGGTGTTGCCTGAGGGAGAGACCCATCTGCAGTGAATTCTCCGTGATGCCTGGAGCTCACACTGAGACCTGGGGAGTCTGGGAGAGTCCTTCACGCTGCCCAAGAGACTTGCCTAAAATTCTAAAAAAAAGTTTCCCCAGAGAACCTTCAGGGCAATCTATCTTTACCAGTAGGATTTCCGTCATCATCTGGTTATTTGAATAACCATTAACATTAGAGCACATGTAGGGGTTTACAGGAAACTTAGAAATCTATTCAACTGGTATCGATTTTCTCAGTCATTCATGCAAGTATTTATGTATTACCTACTGTTTGCCAGGCTGTGCTAGGTGCTGGCGATAAAATAGTGAGCA